TGTTGTGGGGGGGGGGGGGAAGGATTGTAACAATATATGTTTCTAGGGATCTATGAAAGTTGAAATACCATATCCAGAGGATAGTTGCCTAATAAATGCTGGATTTGTTGGGCTACAGGACAATGTGATACTTGGGAATGATGCAGTAGAGGAGTTTTAAAGAAGTGGATGTGGTTATGCTGCAAGTGATACCATCTGCAGTTGACCACGCTGAATTCTAGATGTGAGGTATTCCTAGACTCTGGTCTCTTCAAGAGCTATGTGAAGAGGTAGAGATGTAGGTGCAGAATTTCATAGTCTATAATGAGATGTCCAGGCTCCTGAGTATACAATTTTATGCTCAGTTCTTGCCTGCATATACATCTCTTTTCAGTTTAAATTGACTTACTAAAATAGCAGTGAGCCCTTCTAGAGTGTATTGGAGTTTGAGCCGGTTGTCGCTGGGGTTTGGGTTTTTTTGAGCTATTCAGTAGCTGAGAGCAGCCATCAGTAAGAAAGTAGCAACTTCCCTCAAAGTCCAATCTTCTTTCTTCCCAGTTCCTAGTTGCTGTCTAATATTTATTATCTCCACTGGTAAAAGCAGATAAAAGCATCAGCGTTGATGTTTCAGCTTATGCCCTAATGGGATGTTAGAACTGTAACCTCTCTTTTCGTTAACCTTGCACTAGATATGAAGTGCTTAAGAGCTGTTAATTAACTTGAAATTTTGTTTCAGCTACTGAGTTGTAAATTCTGTTCTGGGAAGCTGCAGGTTTGAAAGGATATGTATTTATACTCCCGAATAGGACTGGTGCATGTGCAAACACTGCTTTCATAATGCCTGCAGAGATTTAGCTGGAGTTCATTGCTGTTGTTCCTTAATTAGAGCATACATGACCCATTTGTTGACCAGTGGATTGTCCCTGTAGCTCTAAACTTGTACAGCCCTCTCAGCCTGACCTGCAGGAGAACTGGCTGTGAGAAAGAACAGATTTTTATTTTTTTTTATCTTTAATAACTGCTTTGTGGTTTCAGATCCTGGCACAAGAATCAGGAAGCTCATGAGTGCTTAGAAACTAACTTAATTGGATTGGGAAATCTTACATGGTTTTGCTTCCAGACTTCATGACTATTGATAGCCTAGCCTTTCCCGTTAAGACAGCAGAGTATTTAAATATGACGCAAGGCGTACTTGCCTTGAAGGGAGCATCTTCTAAACCTTCCATCCATTGGCTTGGTTGTTCTTGTCTGAAGCCTATGAGAGGACTTTGTGTCTGGAGTTGTAGCACAGTGGATTCTGTGTAGCCAGAAATATAGTGCTCAGAGAGAGTGGGGAAAGTGTGTAGCTACTGAACCCCCAAGCTGCCTATAGTGTAAATCCAGTTGTGTGAATAAAAGGATGCTCAATTCCCATGAGTATGAAGGAGGTGTTTCCTGTGTCTCAAACAACTTTACCAGAGCACAGATGTAGGACCTTCTTTGAGTTGACGTAATACTTGAATGATCAACTCTAATCCACATCCTGGAGAAGAACCAGAGTTGATATGTTTCTGCCTAAATCGTGTACCTTGCCAAACTGCAAGGTTGCAGCACACCTCTAACTTCCTATATTGTTACCCATGAAAAGCTTGTTCATAGTCTGTTCATCCTCTTCCTTCCTTCATACCTTTCAAAGAAAAGGGGAATTTCCTGGAAGTATCAAGTGTGAGAGGGGCCACTACAAACTTCTGCAAATGTTCTTCATTCTGCCTTTTGCCTCTGTGCAAGTTACAGCTTCCAGAGCAGAATTTCACTTCTCCCATTGGTGCGAGAGCTCAGGGGTTTCCTCTTCTGAGGTCATGGGCTTAGTCTGCCTCTCCTTACAGGCTTCTCGTCTGTGTGCACCATGCAGCACAAGGAGAAGGGAGAAAAAGGCATTCATGGCTCTCCTGCTTGAAGAAACATTTGTAAATTGTTCCTGTAGTTGCATGGTGGTATACATGATGTTAATTAAAACTTAAGCAAAGAAGACCAGCTTCTTTGACCTAAAATCCATCTACCTTGGCTACTGATTACAGTCATAATCCATTTCAATCTCCACCTAGGCTTGCAATACGCTGTTCTTCAAGATTTCTGCCGTTGCTTATGTGTGATTACATGTCCAGTGCTGAGCGCAAAGGCCTGTGAGCCAGTCCACAGTGATGATGATCAGTGTTTTGCACCTACATTTTTTTTCAGGCAGCCTGTAAGGTTAAAAGTGGAAGCTAGAAACTACAGGCTTAGGAATTTTAGTCTGCAGCCATAGCTGATCACTGCTGTTTGTATACTATACGCAAGAAATAGCACTAAAGTCTCTTATCCAGCACTTTGGAAAAACATAAATGTTTGTTGTTTCATACACACCAGTATAAACTGGGAAATGCCTAGTGCAACTGTAAATGGGGAGGAGAAGAGATAGCTTGCTCTGGGGCCATAGTCAAGCTGCTCAGTTTGAGAACTAGGAGCTGAGTTTAGGCACCCAGCACTTACACCAAAGGGTTTTCCTCTTCATGTGTCTCTAGCAAGCTCTTCCTCAGTCTGTCTCCATATCTGGTGTGGAGATGGACAAGCACAACTGCCTACCACCTGAAACAGCAGAGAACAAATTAAGTAATCCCGTGTCCTCACTAATGCAGGATTGGGGTTTTTCTCCATGCAGCCATAACGGAGTTTATTCCGGGTAACTACTGGGCTGTTAACTTACGCTTTCCTCTGTAGCTTTGCTTATTGAGGTTTGAGCTAATTCAGCAGTCTAGCGCTCTCAGTGACAGTTTCAACCTTCGTTTCTTTTGCTGCAGGTACCCACAGATGTTGAGAAGTGTCAAGACCGAGTAGAGTGTTTCAATGCTGACCTGAAAGCAGATATGGAGAGATGGCAGAACAGCAAAAGACAAGACTTTAGGCAGCTACTCATGGGGATGGCGGATAAAAACATCCAGTACTACGAGAAGGTATGTGACCGCTGGAGCATTGGCAGCAATAAGAATAGTTCATTTTCCTGGGAGGTGGTGATAATTCTTCAGGAAATCTTCATACTGTCTTGAAGAAAAGAATCTTGGACATCCAAATCAGTTTTCTAGTGCTGTGGAAGCTGCTCTTTGTCAGCAGCTTAGTGTAGTCTGTTGAGTTGCTGGTCGTGCTCAAGTGATCTGCATGAGACTAGCAGTCCTTTGCAAGGCAGCCCTGTAACAGCATTTCATCCTGGATGCTTGTCGGTCTTGCATTTTTGATTTGAACAAATTACTAAGCAGCAGTAGTGGCAATGAATAAGACCAAAATTACATCTTCTAGTAATACTACCAAACTAGAAAATCTCTTGATTCTGCCTTTTATGAACCAGACTACATGGCTTAATGTACATCCATGGATCCATATACATATTTGTATATGCATAAATTAATCTCTATCCCCTTGTGCATACTTCTGTCCCTTGTATGCTAGACCCTGGAAATACCTAGTCGCATGCCTCTACCTTTTTTCAGTTGGTGCATGCATACCTGAGATTCAATGTCAGATTTTAAGTGAAAGAGCCTTGACATTTAACTACATATGCTGCCAATCTAGTTTTCCTTCATGCTAAAACAGTGCTGCCCAGTGCAGTGGTTGATACATTAAACACTACTAGGGTTATACATGGTGACATACTTCATCTTCTTGCCTATTGCTTTTTTCCACATCTGGTTTATAAACTTGTTGTGCTAGGTTACCTTTCCATGTAATGTTAATATGCACTCCCTTTGCCCCTTCCAATGTCTGTCTTCTCAGTAATTCATAACTAGTCACATAGAACTTCCTTTGCCCTGGTACCTTCTCTCTTATGAAACCGCTGTGGAGCGGTGTATTAAAGACTCCACTGAACATCCAGCAGTGCCTCTGCAATTGACAGTTAAATCTGTACCTATTAGTTTGCTCTTAGCTGCAGCAAGGAAGATTTTTGGTAGGAAAGCATCTAATTGCTTCAGGATACACAACTAGAAATACTCTATTCACCTGCAGTACGATCAGCAAGATTAGAAGATGCTTGGCAACAGTGACTTGTGGATATCAGAGCTGGTCATGAGTTTGCCCATTCCCAGTGTTTAACAATATATATTCCTCGATCTAGATTTGTCCAGTTTGACTTCTGGGCTGTACATGGTTGAAAGACAGTATTGATACACAGCACAAGGACTGGAGCAAGTATACTTGTCTAGGGAAATGATTCCAAAGCCTGGAGTGACTTTCTAATAACCTAGAAGTTAGACTCCACTTTTATTTTACTATTCCAGGCACTACCAGTTAGTCTTGAAGTAGAGTCAAGTCCCAGACATGTACCGGAGTACACTGTGTCTCCCTTCCCTAAAGGCATGGGTTTTTCAAATAAGTTTTCTGGAGGTAGTCTATAATAGCTGCCGTTGTGTCCAAATCAGACATCTCCCACAGTCACACCACAAAGATGTGAATTTCCACTAGAAACAGTTTGTCTTCGTAGCTGAAAGATGTGGTGTTCTTCAGTTTAGAAGAATCTAGCTTGAAATCTTGGGTATTCTGATGATTTATTTTTTTTTTTAACAGCTTGGGCCAGCTGATGACTTTGGAAACCTTTAATTTGTTTTCTTTGTTTGGGACCTGCAGCTATTCTTTCTGAACACTTTCTTGCTGTTTGAGATTCTGAGGTTTCCCCCCGACCCCCGGCTTCTGTAGCCTTTCTTGAACTTGCATTCTATTGGTCTGGAAGGGTTGGTCAAAAGTTACAAGGACTGATGTACAATCAATTTTTTAAATCTTTATTTCTTTCTTCAGTGCCTTACAGCGTGGGAGTCAATTATACCACTATTGCAAGACAAGCCAGAGACCAAATAAGAAGTACCTTCATGGACAGTCTAGCACTTCTATGCTCAGTACCACTAGATATACTGGAACTGTATGAAGGACTCTTTTTGTGAAGTTAACTGAAATACCAGCTGCACTTAGGCTGGAACAGACGGTCTGAAAAATATTTGAATTTTTTTTTCCTCACTTTCTGTGTTTAAACTGGGGTATGTTTCATCTTTTTGAGTTATCTTGAATGGTTCCTTCTTTATCCTATGGAGTGATTGGGGGTTCATAGTGAAAGTACACGGGGATCTTGATAAAAACTTACCTCTCTAGTCTGGAAGGAACTGATGAGCAGAACACTAAAAAGATGAAAATAAAACTCTACTGCAAGGTGCCAAATGACATCTTTATTAGAATTCTGTTTTGTTTGCTTAAGAAAAAAAAAAGATAAATATTTCTGTGATACAGTACTCCCTGACCAATCCTTATCCCTTTTTTTGGTTGGACAGGGAAAGGCTGGGAAAAAAATTATTTTCTGTTTTGCTACCACTCATATGCTCCCTCTGGATGAAATGGTTTCTGGAGACTTTTCTATGTGGGAGTTGGTCTGGTCCTAGACAGAACATACCAACACCACCTGCAGATAGCCTGTGATGAAAACATGAGCTGTGGTTTTTTTGTGTGTGGCATGCAGTTGGTTCATACTGAGTGTCTTTGTTTACGCTGGTGATTTTGAAGTAATGTCAATTGACTGAAGTGTACTTGTGACTCACTTGGGGATCAAAAAATCCGCCTAACTGCAGGAGTGAGTTGAACAGTGGCTTTTCAAGGCTTGTGGGGATGGTGGAAGCAAGTATGAGTCTTTTGTGTGTTTTTCCTAAAGCTAGCTCTGGAAGTTGCATGGTAGAATTCTCTTGGTTCATGCTTTAAACTTTCTTTTTTTCTGAACTAGAGCCACTTTGGGCTTGGTCACTTAAGGTGCCTGCTGCAGTAAAGGTAGAACTCTGCTTTCTCTCCCCGTGTTTTTTTGCAGCAGCCAAAAGCCAAACAGTGTCAAATGCTTGCTTACACCGAGCATCATTGTGTGTGAAACTTGCCTTAAACAGGTTGGTGGAGGTAGATGGGTACTCTATAAGGTACACATCGTGTTCATACCTGTCTCTACCGAACCACATGGCAAGTCTTTTAAGACTGCTTTTGGTACAGATCTATTTTCTTAGTAGTTTTTATCAACCTTTAGAAATGTAACTGCTTCTGCAAGTTCTCATTTATTTTTTTTTTTCCTCCCTTTCTCTTGCAGTCCAACCTCAATTAAATGCCTGATTGGTGTTAACAGCCTTAGGAATGCTGCTGTGATTCCTAGGGTCCCAGAGTCTTGGTTTAACAGCATGCAGATAAATCCTTTTTAACCATCCTAAGTGAGGGAGTTTGGGGCTAATATCAGTGTAGTATTGAGATTTGGGGGAATAAATAACTCCAAGCACTTACTGCTAAACTTGAGTAATTACTTGATCTGTGGTAACATACTTGCAAAGAATCTGAGCACTAGTTGAGTATGTGCAACTTCTGTGTTTTCCTGTGATGACCTACCAGGTACCAGTCTGGTTTGGACTCATCCCTTCATAAACACAAAGTATACCTGACCCCCCCCCACCCTCAGCTTGGTGACTTTATAGCAACTGTCAAGATGAGTTACTGCAGCAATGTGATAGCTGTCAGGCTAATGAGATGATGCTGTCTGGGTGCAAAAGTCAAGTTTAAGACATTTTAAGAGGTCTTCCTTTTTGACTCAACCTCCATTGACAACTCTGTGGTACTAAAAAAACTATGCTTTTTCGTTTAAGCTCACAGTATGTCAATATACACTTACTTGGTGTGAACGAGAACTCTGCTTTAAGTTGCTATTAGGTCCAGAACGACAAACGACTCTTCTTATGCAAGGGAAGTGTTTAAGTGGATCATCTTGAAGCAGTAACCAAGTGTTTTGCTCAATCTTTGCCTTCTAAAATAAGGACTTGCATACCATTTAACAGTCTGACCTCCAGGGTTACTACAGTCTTCCCTATTTCCCACAAACAGAAATCAACATACTTTTTTGAGCTGGTTCCTGCGTGGTAAATGGAATTTTATGGTTGACTCTGCAGCATCACTGGGAGTCAAGCAAAACTTAATTTTAACTAGTATTTAGACAGTCTTCCCTTCACTTTATCCCCCCAAAATGAAAGGTGAGTAGAAAGGATGGTGGGTTTTTTCCTACAGGTGAGTAGGTTTTGTCTCATGCCTTACAACACTGAGATCCTGTTCTGTCTTAGTTTTATGTCAAACTGCAGTGGGTGTTGGTTCTGGGGAATTTAGCAATTAACATCACGGCCGTTCATGAGAAGCGTAATGGATAGTGGGGAGTACCACATGAAGTTCAAATCAACACGTAACTCTTGAGGGTGGAACTGTTGAAAATCAGCATAATTTTTCTTTAATGTGATGCTGGTGATTCTGCGGCATGGTTTTTAAAGTAGTCCTCATCCAAAGCATGTCTCAATTTCAGATAAATCCCTTTCTGGATAAGCTGTTGAAAGGCAGGCATGCTTTGCACTTCCCTGTTGGAGTATGTGGCTCTGTGACACCTGCAAGTCTATTTGAAGGAGAGGTTGGAACATGCATCTCAGGCTGTGGCCACTAATAGGATTTCTTACATGGTCTGGAACACCAAAACCTCTTAAGCCCCTACAAGGGAAGTAAAACTTAACATTCAAAAGAGGAGTCCTCTGCAAGAATTTCTGCAGTGAAGGAAGGGTGTGTAGTGGTGGGTCTCTCGACTCCTATGGGCTATGGAGGAGTCTCTTTATAAAGAGCTGTTGTAAATCACTAGGTAACTGTAGGAGGGGCTGTGAGGTGTGGGGAGGATTCTCACTCTGAGGTTTAGGGCAGCAGTGCCAAACAGGAGAACTACAACATAGCAGGAAAATTCTGTAAGATGTTAAGTGTGACACTTGTAAAGAGTGCACTTGCTTAACTGCTGTTAGTGGGAGGTTGAGGTCTGAACTGTTACTGAAACTCTGACATGTTATCCTGTAATCATAAGAGGACAGGAGTCTCTCATTTGGATAGCCAAAACCTTAAGTGTGAAAAGTAAAAAACATTGGTAAAGGGAAATAGGAGTGGTGCAGGAGCTTCATCTTTGAGTAACTTCTTGAGTGTTCAGTCACTTACGGTCACCCTCTGCACATGCACTAAAATGACGTCCAAAGTAGTTGAACCCTTTCTATGAGCCTATGTAACATGTGAGTCCTTAAATTAGCCTGATTTTCCTTGTAATGCATAGCCAGACCAAGTTCCCTCTCAGAGGAGGCATAATTCACTGCTGTCCTGGCTACTTCTGTGTAATTTCTTGGATCTTTGTTTCTTCTCTTAACTGGCACCAGCACAATAAAGCAAGCACTGAGATCCTGTTTTCATGCTCAGTAATGAACTGTGCATTGTTCATATGTATCCTTACCAGGTTCTGACTCTTGCAATAAACACAGATGTTGAAACCTTGTGGCTTTTTCAGGTATCCATTGAAAACTGAAAAGGTAGTAAGTGTAGCCCTAAAGACACGAACTCTTCTGGTATGAGTTGTATCAAATAACTATGGATTCTTCGCTGAAGTCTACTTGGATTTTTGTCACACTGATACTTGTGCTAAGGGTAGAGTAGTGGGATAAGTGGTAGAGAGAAACATCTGCAAAGCATCAGTGGCAGAGATGGCCCTGCAGAGGTACTGAGGGATAGCCTTGCAGCAATGGCTCTGCATAGCCTGTGTGCGATGCGTATTGTTTCAGGTGTCAGTCCTGCAGATGCCAATGTGCAAAAGAATTCCTTCCCAGCCCATCAGGGACTGTTCAGTGTTGTAACAGGAGCCATGCTTTTGTTAAAACTTGCACAATTTAACTGAGTATGATTATGATTAATGCTGCCGACTGTTTCAAATCCTGGTGCTGATACCCACTGAGCAAAATTGCATAGACTAAACTAGCTCATTAGATGTTCAGCCTTCTTAAATTCTGAAGGTAGAACAGTCTTTCCCTTGCTATATTAACTTGTACTACAACAACCAATAAATAGGGAAAATGGGGCCTTTTTTTTTTAAGGTAGGGGAGTTGCTACTACTTGACAGTTTGGGGTTTTTTTTTTGTAAAGTAAAACTGGGGATCACGGGAATAAACTTGCTTTCTAGCAGTGTGAATGTTGCATTTTTAAACTTTTTGGAAGTGCTGTTTAACCAATTTTACGAAATAAAATGGCAATGCATAATTCTGTGCTTAGCCCTTTGGAGTCTTGCCAGGGTATCTGGCTTGTACAAGTACTCAGTAATGAACTGGGCTAGTTTTAAGGTTGTATGTCTAAGGCACAATACTTGTGCAGAAAATAATGCACTTTCCAAAATGGAATAAGTAGATCACCCTGATGTAAGTGGAATGCTAAAACATTAAAGGCTAGTTGCTGTCCTAGACTACTTTGAAAGCCTTGGTACTCTATGCTTTGAAGCTAAACCATTTCCTGAACTCTGCTGCTGCTGGGATATGTATCCATACCTTCTGATCAAGCAGCAGTGTTCGGGCCAGTGCCACATTCCCACTGCACAGGGAGACAGATTGCAGAGGGACAGTCTTACAATAGCAAACAGCCAAAGGGCTTTTGTCTTTAGTATATGAAAATAAAGCAGTACCATCCCTGTTTTCTTTTCCTCTGTACCTGCATCCCTCTGTCCCCCTGTAAGGTTTGGAGAGTTGGGCCATGCAGGTGAAGGCAAGCAGGCTGTGAGCGGAGGTGGATCGCATCCCCCTCCTTGTTGCAGGTGTCAGTACTGGGGACCAAAACGGTGCTGGCTCATTGCCCAGACTTCCGCTTTCAACTTCTGCAAACCCACTCACCAGAACTAGAGTCACTGTTCATACCATTAAAAACCAAAATGACAGCTGTGAAAAGACTTGTCTATGTGTGAATTTGCTCATAAAAAATGTAAAGATGGGAAGCAGGCTTTTGTTTCCTGCACTTGACCAAATCTGGCAACTGTGCTCTTGTTCAGACTTGCAGGCTAGGAAATGTTGTCTTGCCTTCTGGTGCTGGCATGTTTCTATACCCTTTCATATATCTCTGTATAAATATACTTTGTGCATTGTTTACTATGGAACTAGTATGGATGGAGAAAAACACTTTGAGGTAAAACTGTTTGTAATTCTCTATTAGTGTGTACATTTTTTTTTTAAAAATGCATCATTTGTTTACCTCAATTAATTTAATGGAATGGACCAATAAATGTATTAAAAGATGACTCCTTTATCTAGAATATAAAGTTTCATTTTTTGTAGCCTTTGCCATTGAAATGATGCATGCACTTATTTTCCTGCTCAGCTCACTATCTTGCTACAGA